AGTAGATAAGTTAGGAAGGGAAGATATACTGGTTTGCTAACCATGAGGCAAAGTAGCCTATTCCAAAGGAGTAGTCATTAATCAATAGGTTTCTAATTGCATGTATTTCCTTTTCAGAACCTACTAATCAGAGTTGAATACAGATATTTTTGATGTCATGTATTATACCAAGTGTTCTCTTCTATTTCTTCTGATAGTTATAAGTTGTTAATAGGCTCATCTCCATAGATGATTCTACTGCGAAATACACTGAGTACTTAATTATCTATTCGGAAAGAATATGTATGAGAAAAGTCATCTAAACATCAAACAAGAATCAAGACAGTAGTATTTATCAGTCTCTACTGGAGATTAGTTATAATGTTTAAATATTCTTGAAAAAGAAATATGGATGAGGATGGCTATGGGGCACAAAAGTATTAGCATAATTGTCTGTAAGACTGAGCCAATTTGAAAGGCATGTGATTAGAAATGTTGATTCATTGCGGTCGTTGTATGTTTTCTTTTTTGGAGGAATAGATATGCCTGTAAGTATGAATGAAGCCTAGGAAGAAATAAAGGACAATTTTCTGAAATAAATTGTTATATTGACAAAATGGTTCCTTATTTCTTTTTTTTTTGAGTATGTTTTCTTTTTGGAGGAATCGATCTTCCTGTAAGTATGAATGAAGCCTAGGAAGAAATAAAGGACAATTTTCAGAAATAAATTGTTACAGTATATTATATAACCGATGGATATATATGTTGTTAGCTAATTTGCAGCGACATTCTTTTCAAATTAAGTGCGAGTATGTGGAAGAGATGCATACGACTTTAGTTACATGGTCTCTTTTGCTCTAGAATGTACATGTCTTTTTCTGTTACTACTTCTTTAGTTGTTATATCTTCTATATAGCAAGCAATTGACTAAGCTCTCTCCCTTTCCCAGGTCGAGCATGGGGACAATCATACTCATTTACCTTACTTTAAGAGTTAGAATGAGCATTGATGGGGCTGGTAATATTTAGTCTCTGCTTCTCTTGTCATCCACTCACACCCATCATTTGTGAAAAGAGTTTTGCTAGGAATGTAAGCTTTTCAATGAATATCTTTCTCGATTGTATTTCTTCTTTAATGTTCAATGAGTAGGAATCCTTCGT